TCACATGTAAATACTCTATTACTAAATATGCCATTGCACCTAGTTGTCTTCTGTCATTAGAATTGCTTTTATGCTTACATATTATGTTCAATGGGATTATCAATCCACTTAGGCAAACGTTGCCCATAAAGAATTACCAGGCTGTTTCCCAGAGCCCAAAAGTCGAAAAGCGCAACAGCTGTATGATGTCACCATGCATTGTGAAGTCAAGTCAACCAAGTTTTTACCATGATATTTAACCAATGTCATGATTGAACCAGAGATATTTAACTAATGGAAATAGTTTGCTGTATTCGAAGGATAATATTGCCAGTTTCAACAGCTACATTTAACCCGTTCAGTTTGGTATCATACTGGTCAACTATGACATTTTTATGTAGTACTACATTGGAACATCTAGGTTCTCTTCTAGCTTTAACACTGCTTTGATTTGTGAATAGTTCGGCATGAGTATTGGTATTTCCTATTTCTACAATATTCTCTGAACAATCAAAATGGCAGAGTCCACAATTACAGGTTCTATTCACTATCCAATCAGAATTCAGATTAGCTTGATCAGGCACAATCCAGAGATGTGACTGGCTGAGATTGGTGACAGGGTGTCCAATTTGATTACAAGAAGCAATAGTTTGTAGATTTTGAATGAAACGTTGAGCAGCTAATTTGAACTGATATTCAGAGTACCCTATGCTTGCACAAAGGGATTTATCAATGTTCTGAATCTAGGGAAAAAACATACCATAAAACTAGAATATTATTTCTATAATTTTAACATATCATATTATATCAGTGGCAGACCGTAGGGTAAATTGCAAGGTATACTAGGTATTGGCATATCTAGAATTTGCGAGGGGTGTGCACGCCACCCCCTTCACCCCCACCCTTAGCTATAATTTCAGATAAAAATCATAATAGATATGCTTTTGAATGTTAAAAATCAATGACTTATGTTAGAAGTTACAAGATGGTTTTTGTTTTAATTGTGCTAGTCTTCTTATGAACTATTCACAACTAATGAGCTTCACTATTAATCTTGTTACAAAATTCCCTGAAGCAGTAATTAATTAATTGGCTATTCTGACGCCACCACACGGTTGTCACAATAGCAAATTTAAGCGTTGTAGGGTATGCTCTGACTCCCATTGAGCAGCTGAGAGTACGATGTGATAGGCCTGACTGTAACTTATCCTAGATACCAAAGTAGGTCAAACATTGAAAAACTTTGGTATTCCAATGAACTGTAGCAAAATTAAGGTTTATACAGATTCTGACTCAAAAATGCTAGATAAAATGGAGAAACTGTACTACTATATTTTTTTTATTTGTTTTAGCCAGGTTATGCTCTGCATACCTTGCTTGCCTTGGTGATCTGCAACTGATCTTAATACAGTTAGGTTGATTAATCAACCATATGTAAAAAAAAAAAAAAACCCTTTAAAATTAATTAGAAACATTTAGTAGCAAATATGCTCTATAATCATAATCTATAATTAATTTTACCTTTAAAATGTTACATAACTTATTGGCTTTATTACTTTTCCTTATTAATGAGAAATTAAATTTGAAGAAGTATCAGTATTAATATTATCACAACAATAAAATTCAGCTTAAAACAATTCATTACACTAGTAGCACTTTATAGACTAACTTAAATTGTTTATTACACAAGATTTTCCAGCAGTCTATGGCTTCATCATGTAGAGTTCAGTATCCAACCTACACATCAGTGTATGTTATAAACAAATGTAACTTTTGTCAGTAGATAGATGTTATGTGAACAAAAAAAAAATCAGAATATGTAACTTGATAATTTTTGACCAGACTACTTAATTATTTACTCTAAATATTAACTTGTACTTTGTTTAGGTTAATATGCAGGAGCATGTCAACATATTTTATTTATACACTTACTTTTTGTTTTAAATGATTGGAAAGAAGAACTTCAAAGCAGCCAGCACCAGGTACAACAGTTGGATTTATCATCAGGCTTAGTAACACACTTTGAGCTACCTTACAGACACTCTGAACAAAACAAACGATTTGAGCACTGCATTATTCAATATTTATACTGTCTCTTATACACATCTGACTAGGCCTATATGTGTTATATATTCATATTTACATACGTATATACACGTGTATGTATACGTATGTATATACACGTGTATGTATACGTATGTATATACGTATAATATACATGCGTGTATATATATATACACACGCGTATGTATGTACACGCATATATATGTACACGCGTGTGTATATACATGTATACGTATATATATAGGTGTATACGTATATATATGTGTATATGTACGTGTATATATATACACGTATATATATATATATAGGGCCTATATACTTTTTAAGTCATGTATCATGCATAGGAACGTTGACGCCTGCAAGGCTCTGGTTAATATTATTATCTATTATTATTATCATTATCACCATCATTATCATCATTTACATTATTATTATTATTATTCTTACTATTATTAGTAATAGTATTATTAAACAAAGTTCAAAAAAATTCACCCCCTGATCGGTAGCCGTTATGAACCCAAAAATGTTCTAATGAATATTCCACTGGGTTACTCTCAGGGTAGCGGGTGACTTTTATTGAGCACGAGTCACACAATACATAGTAATCAATTACAAATTGAACAGCATTTAAATTAACACCAAACTCAGTTTTTTTTTTTTTAAATTTGTAAATGCATAAAAGTGACATGTTGTCCTCACATAGCATAGGTCAGCAAAATGATTTACAACAATCACAAAAAAATCACACTTAGGACTAGGCCTATATGTGTTATATATTCATATTTACATATTTTAGAAGTAATTATTTTGAGTTCAAGAAAGAATTTGTATTGGCTAGCAAAAGAAGCTTTAAAATACTAACACTGTGTACAAAGGGAGGAGCCATGGTTTCGTTACCCCACCCCACCCAGATACATCCCTGTTTCCATATCACATCAGTTCTCAATTTTAAATGTTCCAATTGACGAATATTACACTAAGCTGAAAAAGGATATTAATTAGTGTTCAAACATACATGGAAGATTTTAATCATTCAAGTAGCTAAGATTAAGAATCATATCATATCAGAGCATTGCAAAATCCCTCCCCACCCCCTCAAAATCACATGTAAATAGTCTATTACTAAATATACCATTGCACCTAGTTGTCTTCTGTCATTAGAATTGCTTTTATGCTTACATATTATGTTCAATGGGATTATCAATGCACTTAGGCAAACGTTGCCCATGAAGAATTACCAGGCTGTTTCCCAGAGCCCAAAAGTCGAAAAGCGCAACAGCTGTATGATGTCATCATGCATTGTGAAGTCAAGTCAACCAAGTTTTTACCATGATATTTAACCAATGTCATGATTGAACCAGAGATATTTAACTAATGGAAATAGTTTGCTGTATTCGAAGGATAATATTGCCGGTTTCAACAGCTACATTTAACCCGTTCAGTTTGGTATCATACTGGTCAATTATGACATTTTCATGTAGTACTACATTGGAACATCTAGGTTCTTTTCTAGCTTTAACACTGCTTTGATTTGTGAATAGTTCGGCATGAGTATTCGTATTTCCTATTTCTACAATATTCTCTGAACAATCAAAATGGCAGAGTCCACAATTACAGGTTCTATTCACTATCCAATCAGAATTCAGATTAGCTTGATCAGGCACAATCCAGAGATGTGACTGGCTGAGATTGGTGACAGGGTGTCCAATTTGATTACAAGAAGCAATAGTTTGTAGATTTTGAATGAAACGTTGAGCAGCTAATTTGAACTGATATTCAGAGTACCCTATGCTTGCACAAAGGGATTTATCAATGTTCTGAATCTAGGGAAAAAACATACCATAAAACTAGAATATTATTTCTATAATTTTAACATATCATATTATATCAGTGGCAGACCGTAGGGTAAATTGGCATATCTAGAATTTGCGAGGGGTGCGCACGCCACCCCCTTCACCCCCACCCTTAGCTATAATTTCAGATAAAAATCATAATAGATATGCTTTTGAATGTTAAAAATCAATGACTTATGTTAGAAGTTACAACATGGTTTTTGATTTCATTGTGCTAGTCTTCTTATGAACTATTCACAACTAATGAGCTTCACTATTAATCTTGTTACAAAATTCCCTGAAGCAGTAATTAATAGAGATAAGAAGAGATCGGCAAAACCTGGTTCAAAACTTTAAAATTTGGTAAATGGTGAAGTTTCCTCATGAGTCGCGCCCCCCCCCCCACCAATAAATCATGTTCAAGTAGTTAAAAGTCACCTCAAATTACCTTATTTTGTGAGTTAGCCCACTTACCCAATCACCGATCTCCCACCCCTATCAGCTCCCTTCACTTTCAAGACCCCTACGCCACTAATGCTAGGGCCTGCTAGTAGGAAAAGTTTGTAAGCCTATGCTACTACTATACCGAATCAGATCCATGTCAAAATCCAAATGTATGTTATTTTAAATACTGGCATGGTTGTAGTATCTTTTCTCTTCAAAAGAATTCCTATTGCTGTATTTTCACAAATTTAAATTTAAATAATAATTATTCAAAATTTCTTCTATACTTGTCATATATATGCAAAATTTTTAAACTTTAATCATTGAGATTATTCCTAGAGATACAATACCTGATCGCCAGTGGAGGTCCCGATTTGTGAGAAGAAGAGAATGCGCACATACTCTTGGAAGGACCGCTTCCAGTCCAGTGTTAAATTGGCTATTCTGACGCCACCACACGGTTGTCACAATAGCAAATTTAAGCGTTGTAGGGTATGCTCTGACTCCCATTGAGCAGCTGAGAGTACGATGTGATAGGCCTGACTGTAACTTATCCTAAATACCAAAGTAGGTCTACCATTGAAAAACTTTGGTATTCCAATGAACTGTAGCAAAATTAAGGTTTATACAGATTCTCAAAAATGCTAGATAAAATGGAGAAACTGTACTACTATATTTTTTTTAGCCAGGTTATGCTCTGCATACCTTGCTTGCCTTGGCGATCTGCAACTGATCTTAATACAGTTAGGTTGATTAATCAACCATATGTAAAAAAAAAAAAAACCCCTTTAAAATTAATTAGAAACATTTAGTAGCAAATATGCTCTATAATCATATTCTATAATTAATTTTACCTTTAAAATGTTACATAACTTATTGGCTTTATTACTTTTCCTTATTAATGAGAAATTAAATTAGAAGAAGTATCAGTATTAATATTATCACAACAATAAAATTCAGCTTAAAACAATTCATTACACTAGTAGCACTTTATAGACTAACTTAAATTGTTTATTACACAAGATTTTCCAGCAGTCTATGGCTTCATCATGTAGAGTTCAGTATCCAACCTACACATCAGTGTATGTTATAAACAAAT